GAAGAGCATGAGTGGAGCGTGAGCTATCTTTAAAAGGTGGTGACAGCAGAGAAGGTGACAGGGAGAGACAGAGCAACTTTGGGCTGTGTGGCTGCAGCCACGAGGCTGGCTTGCAGAATGTGCCCTCTGGACGTTTACACACACATATATATAGTTTTGTATGTGTGTGTGCATCAAATAGTTTTACTTTGTTCATTTGTGGAGTAAAAGCTGTAAATGAGGACTCACAAGGAGGAAGTGGCATAACTATTACAGGGAGGAGACTAATAACTGAGAAGAAACACAATGTAGGATTTGTTGAATGTAAGCTGATGATCGTATCTACAAACCTTCACTCAATTCACAATTAAAAAGGTAAGGGATACTAGATAAATGGAAACGGAACAAGTAGAACAGAAATATTAAGTTTACATATTGTAAAGAATGTAACCAGTGTCACTGAACAATTTGTCTAGAAACTGAATAGGAACCTAACTGCTGTGTAAATCTTTGTTGGAAACACAAGTTTTATTTTGTTGTTGTTTTTTAAATGTCTGGATAATTATGAAATGTCTGCATTTCAGGGGTGGGGAGTCTTATTTCTGCCAAGGGCCATTTGGATATTTATGACATCACAAGAGATAAATTTATGTTGCTATGAAAGAAGCTCCTAGATTTATTGAATTTTGAGTCCCACCTGTGGTTGCCTTGGAAGGCCCAGACCAAATGATTTTGTGGCCTTAAACTGAGCCTGGACTGGATGTCCCCTACCCCTGTACTATTAAAAAAAAAAATCTCTTCCTTTAAACCTCCTCTCATAATTTAAAAACTATGACCAATACTTGAGGTCTCCATATATAATTAGAACCAGCACTTTGAATTTGGGTAATGTGTCAGACTGCAAAATTGTTTGAACTGCGAGGTCAGTAGTTCAAGCTCCTTGGAAACCCTATACAGGATCGCTATGGGTCGGAATCGACTCAACGGCACTGCACAACAAAGCGAGAATGGAGTCATGGTGTGGTACTGTGGGTGAAGCACTGGACTGTACGGTTGATTTGTACCACAAGGTTGGCAGTTCAAGCTCACCAGATGCTCCTCAGAATCCCTATACAGGGTCACTATGAGTTGGAACAATTCAACAACTGAGAATGTGTTAAAACCACCTATTTACGGTTTTTCTGTTACACCAGACTTGGATAACTAAGACACTACATACCTGGTTAATGTGCTGGACTGTAAAATTGGTTTGAACTGCAAGGTCGGTGGTTCAAGCTCACCAACTGCTTCTCGGAAACACTATACTGAATCACTATAGGTTAGCACTGACTTGATGGCACTTAACATGTCAATATATGGAGTCCTGGTGGGGCGCAGTAAGATAAGCACTTGACCTAAAGGTTGGCGGCTCAAACTTACCAGCTGCTCCTTGGAAACCCTATATAGGGTTGCTATGGGTCGGAACCAACTTGATGGCACTTAACATGTCAATATATGTCTACAAAAATAAAAATCCACTTTTTCTGTCACCTTCATCCTGACACAAGCTGCAAATGCACTTGTGACCTTAACTACATGCAGGTAGGCCTTACCTCATGAATGAAAGGGTACATACAGCCCTTCCGATCAGCACAAAGCTCAATATGATTGGGAGTACTGCCCAGAACACCCTCACTTCTAACACTGTGAATACAAATTTCCAGGTTCCCTCTACTTTCTCAGGATCCCAGCTTTTTGTCCTGGTGGTCATAATCTTCTAAGGTATTCTTAGCTCCCTTCTTTTCTTTTTTTTTTTCATTTTGAATGAAAATTTTTTTCTTCACCTACTTTAGACAAAACCTGGGGGTTTAAGCACTTAGTACCTAATAGTATATTGAATAAATTGGGAAAATATAAGAAGCAATATCCTATTAAGGAGTTACATCAAAGATGATAGTATAAAAGACAAATTAGCTAATATGGGTCTACGTGTTAATTGAACATACAAAGAAAGTGAATATTTTAAGTACTTTTATGTTAAAGTAATAAATCATATGTAACACCAACATAGAATTCTCACAGTTTTGTTTTCTGATAAATTAAATCTTTTCATATAAAATGTTCCCTTCATTTCTGACCTGCTGGTTTCCACTGCTCTGTTGGGTTTGAGAATGCATTAGGATGACTCAGAACTCACGGAAATGACTACATACAGCACAGGGTTACAATTTTATCCTAGCAGAACGGATACTAACGGAGAGACATAAAGGGCATCGTCTGGGTCAGTTCTGAAAATGGAACCCTTACTATCCCAAAAAGGTTGGGCTACCCTTCTACTTTTATTAATGTCTCTCGTCAACCAGGAAGTCCATGGTCAGAGGCTTCATTGGGACGTCATTTGGTAAGTTTCATTTATAGAGTCATGTTTATACTACACAACAGGTTGGCTGATACCACACTGTGCCCTTTTCTGGCCTGGTCAGACTAGAATGAGTCTATGGATCTGCATGGACAGACACATGCTGAATGGGCATGGGAGGAAGAGTGGAATATATATGCAAATGTTCTGGTGTGATGCTGTAGGGTAAGACCACAAGGTCGGTTTGAATTGTAAGGTCAGCAGTTCAAATTCACCGGCCACTTCTACAAAACCCTATAGAGGGTTGCTATGAGTCAGCACTGTCTTGACAGTGAACATATGTATGTATATTTATATATCTCACAGATATATAATAATTTCAAAGAGGCTATTGGTTCATGAGTATTTGCCTTTCCTGCAAACACAACTGTGAATGTGGTGCAGCATACAGCAGGAAAAATGTTGAAGATTTGGGTCAGTGGTTCAAACTCATCAACTGCTCTTTGGAAACCCTGTATAGGGTCACTGTGACTCAGAACCAACTCAACGGCACTTAACAAAGCAGTTGAGTCTGGGGGCTCAGGTTCAGTATCTGCACGCCATGGTCAACAAGCATGAGAGTCCACAAAGGCAAGTTCCACGTGCTACTTAGGTGAGTACTGGCTGAGATCTTAAAAGCTCATGAACAGCCATCTAAGGTGCAGCTAATGGTCTTTCCAAGTGTTGAGATTGGTACTTGGAATCAGTTAGTCCAACAGACTAATGGAACATGTGAACATTGGTCTACAACGACCAGAACTAGATGATGCCCAGACACCACTACCAACTGCTCTATAGGGGATCTCATTAGATGGTCACAGATAGAGTGGCAGAAAGCGTGGGACAAAACTTAAAAACAGAAAAGACTCATCTTACTGGACAGAAATAGACTGGAGAAACCTGAGATTATGGCCCATGACCACCCTGCACGTCTGGGAGGGAACTCACTCTCATGGTCCAACTTTCAGCCAAGTCATAATTGTTGTTGTTGTTAAGTGCTGTCGAGTCGGTTTGGACTCACAGAGACCCTGTACAGGGTTTCCGAGGCTGTACATCTTTACAGGAGCAGAAAGTCTCACCTTTCTCCCCACAGAACGGCTGGTAGTTTCAAACTGCTGACCTTGAGATTAGCAGCCTGATTCATAACCACTACGCTACCAGAGCTCAAGTCATAATAGATAGTTATATATATATAGGGGGAACCACACTAGTAAGGTATGCTCACTATGAATAATGGGATGGTCAATCATTCAAAATCAAAGGGGCAACATGTACCTAAGGACAAAGGTGAAAAGGGAGAGGAAGGTGGGTGGAACGGAAATTAGGAGCCACAAGGAGGAAGCGGGATAACTTGTTGCAGGAAGAGCATTGCAATCATTGAGATGAAACACTGTAGGGTTTGTTGAATGTAAAACTGACGATCTGTTCTGTAGACCTCCACTCAATTCACAAAAAGTAAAACAAAACACAAAACCCCCCAAAGAGCAGTTCTACTCTGCGTACATGAGTCAGCGTCAACACAATGGCATGTAACATGTTAATATTAAGGAGCCCCTGAGACACAGTGGTCAGAGGACTCAGCTGCTAACTGCAGGAAACAGTTAGCAGGAGCTGCCTCTCTGCAGGAAACAAACATAGCACTGGGTTTCTGTAAAGATGACTGCCGTAGACACCTTATTATAGGGTTATCCCACTTGGTCCTACTGGGTCATTGTGAGTAGGAAGAAAACCTGCAGCAATAGGTTTGTTTTTTGTTCTTTCAGGTACTATGGGTATGAATGACTCATCCCAAAGGAAGGTGACCCTTCTCCTCCCTCAGCCGCTTCCCAGAAACCATGCAGAAGGCCAGCAATGAAAGGACAATGTCAAAATATAAAACCTAAGGAAAAAATCAGTAAAGCGTCATGTAGCCTTTTCAAGAAATGGTAAATAAATGAACAAAAATATTTTTATTGAAAAGAATCTTTCTATAAATCGTTGCTCCTCTGACACGTAACATTTCATAGATCGAGGAGATGTCAAGTTTTATACTGTAGAATCAACAGCTGAGGCGGGTTTATCTGTAAATTCAACTTATTTCTCCTTGGAATTCTGATATGTAATAAATTGAGATTATAAACATGATTTAATACACTGTTTACATTTATAGTTTCTTTCCAGTATGCTTCAAATATGTGAATGCTTGATAAAAGCATACAAAATACAGAACATGGATTCAAGTTTCTGTCTAGAATGAAATTCTCAGACTCAGAAGCCGTGAATTTCAATAACCAATGATCATACAGATTGCATTGATGAGTTCACTCCAGAGTGAACATCTTGGTATTTAGTAAGTCCTGGGGTGGTGTTGAAGGATAAGCACTTGACTACAAGGTCGGTTTGAAACATAAGGTCGGCTGTTCAAAATTACCAGTAGCTCCTCGGAAACCCTATACAGGGTCGCTATGGGTTGGAACCGACTTGATGGCCCTTAGCATCAAACACCAACAGTGAGAACTGGACCCCATTAAAGGTTACACTGGTATGGTTTCTCTCCACTATAAACTGTCTTGATGTCCAACAACTTTTGATCTTTGGGTAAAAGTCTTAACCATATTCACGTTAAGGTTTATCCTCAGTGTGGACTCTTTAAGTCATAAGGCTTTTACTGTAAGTAAGACCTTGCTACATATATTGCAATTGTGTGGATTCTCTTCCGAATGGATTTTCTAATGTCTAATCTGGTAGCATAGTGGTTACGAATCGGGCTGCAAAACTCAAGGTCAGCAGTTCGAAACTACCAACTGTTCTGCAGGAGAAAGATGAGATTTTCTGCTCCCATAAAGATTTATAGCCTTGGAAACTGTACAGAGTTGCTATGAGTCGGAACCGACTCCACGGCATATAACAACAACAAGAAGTGAGATTTGAAGGAGCTCTGGTAGCGTAGTGGTTACGAGTCAGGCTGCGAACCTCCAGGTCAGCAGTTCGAAACTACCAGCGGTTCTGCGGGAGAAAGATGAGGCTTTCTGCTCCCGTAAAGATTTACAGCCTCAGAAACCCTATCCAGGGTCCCTATGGGTCGGGACCGACTTGATGGCACTTAACAACAACAGTGAGATTTGAGTTACAATGAAAGGTTTTCTCCTCACTCTACCTGTTTAATTTTCTTCTCTTTTATGAACCCTCTCATGATCCCAAAACACGGATTGAATGCTAAAAGCCTCGTCATATTCCTTTCTTACATTTGTATGGTTTCTCTTCTGTATGGATTCTCAGATGAATTTTCAGTTGTGAATTCTGACTAAATTTCATGCCACATATGTTACAATGACACGGTTTCTTTCTAATATGGATTCTTTGATGTCTAGTGAGGTATAAGTTAGACTTATAGGCTTTGCCACACTCTTTACATTTGAAAGGTCTCTGCACCAAATGAATGCTCTGATGTTCTACAAGGTTTCCTCTTTGGGTAAAAGCCTTTCCACATTCATTACATTTATAAGGTTTCTCTCCTGTATGGATTCTCAGATGAATTTTAAGAGTTGAATTCTGAATGAATTCCATGCCACAGACAGTACATTTATATGGTTTCTTTCCAGTATGGATTCTCTGATGTCTAGTGAGGTATGAGGTAGAATTGAAGGCTTTGCCACACTCATTACATTTGTAAGGTCTCTGCATCCAATGACTTCTCTGATGTTCTACAAGGTTTCCTCTTTGGGTAAAAGTCTTCCCACACTCATTACATTTGTGACGTTTCTCTCCAGAATGAATTCTCCAATGTTCCACAAGTTTTGTTTTCCGGATAAACGCCTTACCACATTCAATACACTTGTAAGGCCTCTCTCCAGTATGAATTCTCTGATGAGCTGTGAGGCCGGAAGGTCGACTGAAGTCTTTGCCACACACCTCACATTTATATGGTTTTTCACCAGTATGGATTCTCTGATGTCGAGTTAAGTTTGAACGACAGTAAAATGATTTGCAACATGCTTTACATCCGTAAGGCTTCTCTCCTGTATGGATTCTTAGATGCACTGAAAGATGTCCTTTTTGACTGAAGACCTTGTCACACACATTACATTTATACGGTTTTTTTCCAACATGAATTTTTTGATGCTTAGTAAAGTCTGAGCCACAGAAAAAGACTTTGACGACACTCTCATTACACTCATAAGGCACCTGCACAGAATGAGTTCTCTGATGATTTGTGAAGACTGACCTTTGGTGAAAGGCTTCCCCACATGGAATCCATGCACGAGATCCAGTGAGAATTGGGTTATGAGTTATAATCATACCTTTGTCATGCTTTTCATCATTTCCACACTGACTGTCAAACTCCTGCATATTGTCTCTGATTGGCCTGAAGTCAAAATCCCCAATGCCATACCTTTCAGGTCCTTCTAAGAACAATGTCTGGCACAATTCTCCTTTATTAATGATCTCTTTTGGTGATAACGTCTTGATTACACAGGCAGATGAGATATCTAAAAGATACAGAGTCATAAAGAACAAACAAACCCGAAACAGTTGGGAAATATTTCAAATTGAAAATGTTATTTACATCAACAAGAAAACTTAAAATGAAGAGCTAGGAAATTTCTCCACTGTAGCCTTCAAATGTTTAGGAACACAAAGTTAATATGAGTCCTCAATAAAGGATGGTTACCAAGAAGAACTAGAAGAACCAGAAGAGAATTAGTGAGGAAACTGACACACTGTTCAAAACAGAACTAATGTTGCTGTAAAATTATTCAAAATATGACTAATATTGTATCATATAATTTAATATCAAAATATAACTAATGTTACTGTAATGAGCTTTGGTAGAGTAGTGGTTATGAATTGGGCTGCTAACCTCAAGGTCGGCAGTTTGAAACTACCAGCTGTTCCACGAGAGAAAGATGCGGCTTTCTGCTCCCGTACAGATTTGCAGCCTTGGAAACCCTGTGCAGGGTCACTATGAGTCGGAACTGACTCCACGGTACTTAACAACAATTGTAAAATTTGTAGAGAATTTGTCAAGTGGGAATCTTTGCTCTATAAACTTTAAGAAAAGACCTACAAAGATGGCAGCCGAACAAGGTCCTTTGATGTGTCGGCTGCTATCTTTATACAGCGCCCACTTCATTTTCTATCACCTCATATATGCATATGGAAGTTGGACTGCCAATAAGGAGGACCATAGAGGAATTGATGCTTTTGAGTTACGGTGTTGGAGAATATTAAAAGTACCATGGGCTGCCAAAAGAACCAACAGATCTGTGTTGGAAGAAGTGTGCCAGAATGTTCCTTGGATGCTAGGATGGTCAGATTTCATCTCTCCTACTTCAGACATATTATCAGGAGGGACCAGTCCCTGGGGAATGACATTATGCTTGGTAAAGTGGTGGGTGGGAGTAAAATAGGAAGCCCTCCCATGAGATGGATTGGCACAGTGGGCTCAATCATAACAATGATTGTGAGGTTGGCGCAGAAAAAAAAAAAGGCCGTTAATCCAGAGGGACAAAATAGAATGAGATAGAGAAAATACATAAAAAGAAATGGACTTAGGGCAGGTGTCCTTAATGTGAATATAAGTAAATGATGCAGATGTACAATGCTTGTGTTAGAATCACCAGTTAAGTGTGAAAACATTTTCTGGGTGTTCCACAGAGACCCAGGTCAACAACATAAGCAGTCAACAGTAGTCAGAAAACCTCAGGATTTGAATTAAAAAAGGAACAGGGGAACATATACTCAATTCCTAAAGACAGGCAAGGGAAAATCAGTCTTCAAATGAAGTAGAAAATGTAATTTCTAGATGCTTAGAAGCTTCGTGGAACATTTAGGTGTCAAAAGCAACAAAGGTGAAGAAATACAAGAAGTGTAAAAAATTAGCTAAGTTTCTTAGAAAATGAAAAATATTTAATATAAAAATTCAGTTAATTTGAGTGGAAAAAGTTTACTCTGAGATACCTGGACCCACATATCAATGTAGCTCTTGGGATGCTTTCTACGGAGTCTTTCTGGGCCAAACTGGTCTTTGTACTCATTGGCTTCTAGAGGTATTTCTGTATTTAGCAGGGCAAAAGTATTACATACCACCTGTACTCAGTAAGACCCCTTCCTTTGGGGAAGTCAACCTCAAACTGTCTATCACTTAAAGGATAGGCAAAAAAGCAGGATGGGATTTCAGAATCTAGGAATGTGTATTTTCAATTGCCTCATATGTATGTGAAAGCCAGACAGAGAATAAGGACGACTGGTAAGAACTGATGCCTTTGAATTAAGGTATTGGAGAAGCATACAAATATACTATAGTTTGACAGAAGAGCAAACAAACTGGTCTTGGAAGTTCATCCAGAATGTTCCTTGGAAACAAAGATGGCAAGACTTCATCTCACATACTTTGAACATATTATAAGGAGGGCTCAGTCCCAGGAGAAGGACATCAAGCTTGCTGAAGTAAAGAGTCAGCAAAAGAGCGGAAAAGCTCCAAGAAGATGGACTGACACTGTGGCTGCAACAACGGGGGTCAACATCACCATCATGAGGATAACATGGGACGGGACAGTGCTTCATCCCATTGTAAAGAGAGTGGCTAGGATTCAGAACTGACTGGAAGAAATCTAATTAACAGCAATAATGTGTACTTCAAAAGCAAGTTTCAGTGACTAATTGTGACTGTCACAACTGTAAAGGTAGAAGTTTTGTAACATAAAGTGGGGGAGTAGTTAATCTTACAGTCCAGGAACAGAGGACCCTAGGACCATCAAGGGAGAAGAGCACGAGCGGAATGTGGGACCTTATCCAGAGAAGCAGTGACACCAGAGACGGAGGCAGAGATGGGGACATGGAGAGAGGGAGCGGCTGAGGACTGTAGATTATTGGAAAGAGAAAGGCTGTGTGCTGTTTGTCAGGAGCCAAGCTTATAGAATGTGCCCTTTGGTTGTTTAAATGATTATAGATTTACTGAAGGATGATGCATGGAGGGGACTGTAATCATTGCAATGAAACGAAGAGTGTAAAACTGATATTCTCCCATGTAAAGTATCACTCAATTCACAATAAAAACTACAAGAAGGGAAAAAAGTGCTTAAAATATTAAACATATAGTCTCATTTTCCTTGTACGAAAAAAAAAAGCAAGTTTCAGAGGAAAAAAATCACAGAGACTTAGAACAGAAATCAAGAAGCGCCTAGGTTTTGTATCATTCCCAGTCTATGTAGAGAGGGGCCCTGGTAGTGCAGTGGATTCTGAACTGGGCTGCTAACTGCAAACTTAGTAACAAGAATTGACCAGATATTCTGGAAGAAAGATGAGGTTTTCTACTTCCGTAACGACTGACAGCTTCAGAAACCCTGGACAGGTTTGTCATGAGTGAGAACTGACTCGGTGGAACACAACCACCACCATCACCCCCAGTCTATGTAGAAAGCTGGAAGGAGCCAAGTCTGAGATATGGGAATAAAATGAATGTCAGAATTAGCGTGCTCTGCCCAGAGAATGCAAGCTCAGAAGCTGAGAGACAAAAAGATACCGCTGCCATATGAGGTTCCCAAATCTAAGAGAGTATCTGTACGCTGCCTTCATAGTACTGTTGAGTAAAAAAAAAATCTCAGAATATCTAACCCTCCTGTCAAAAACACTCCCTAAATAGTATTGAAAATCAGAAAAGAAATGGCTCGTGATCGGAACACACACGGAGAGGTCTTGGAAAGTTTTGTACAATTTATTTGGCCTGCATCCGCATCGGAAGAGATAGCACTGCTTTGCCATTTTCCAAGAAGGTCTTCAATAAAAGCAATGAATCTAGACTGATGTTTCATGATAAAGGTGGTCTCAGTTATGAGCTTTATGAACTGAGAGTGAGATGAACTCCAGCACAGAGGATAAACCACCTTGTCCCTCCCAAAGCCATGGCACCAACGGCCCCACAGGACAACACAATGGTGTTCTGCGAGTCCTACTCAAGACTTCATCTCTGTCTTTGCTTGAGCTGGAGAACCAGCAGAAGATGAAGTCTGCACATCTGAAGACTGGTAATTGAGGGGCATCAAGTGTGGGGAACGAAAACTCATTTTGAGAGCTCAGAAGAAACAAACTTGTTTTTACCATTTTGGGAAAGGTTTGCTAAACAATCTTTCTCCCCGTGACCATCTGACTTTTTACATATCTGACCTCTTGTTAACATCTTGATACATTACCACCTACCTACCTGAGTGTTTTCCAATTGTCCAGGGCTCGGTCCTGTTCTTTAAAATGGAGATGCTATTCATTTCAGAAGAGATTCCTATTTATAAGAAAAAATAAATATGATAAAAAGATAGCGCCTTGCAGTTCAAATGCAGTCCAGTGCATTACCCTACAGTGCCCCCCCAGCACTTCTCCTAATACCTAGGGGATGCATTAAATCTGAAGCTAGCAAGAGCTCCTGCAACAACTATTCTAACAACAGCACAGAAGGAAAGCCAGAAAATTAGATTTATTAAAAGCTGGTCCTAAGCTGTTGTGGTTACTTTAGACCTGGAATTAGTAATGATGTGACGTAAAGCCAGCAGAGATCATTATGAAGCTCCTGAATTCTGAACAAATTTCAATCTCTGACTTTAGAATATAGATTTCAAACTCCCTCAAGCAGAGGAAGGGCTGATTAGAAACTTACAAGGGAAAATACAAACATATACAAGAACAGATCCTGACTTTTGAAGGGAAGTTATCCTCACCCAGGGAGACCAGGTTCCTGTAGTTCTCCAACATCACGTCCCGGTACAAAGCCCTCTGAGCAGGGTTTAGACATTCCCACTCCTCCTGAGAGAATTCCACAGCCACGTCCCTGAATGTGAACAATCCCTGAAATTAAAGAGGCAAGGGAGTTTTTATTCTCACACACTATGATAAAATACAAAATACAGATCAGTTTGAGTGATATCAGAGTTCTGACAGATGAGCATGAAGCTAATGCTGAACAACACACACATCCCTAATTGTTTCCTATTATCCTTTCCCATCAGAGGACAGACACAGGGCAGCAAATGACTTATCATGGGACTTCTAATCAAATAGCTCCACTTGGTGATATATTGTAGCCTAGGACTCCTGGTGTAGCACTGTAGGATCAGCACTGGACTGCAAACCACAAGGTCAGCAGTTCAAATCCACCAGCTGCTCCTCAGAAACCCTATACAAGGTTGCTATGAGTCAGATTCAACTCAAGGCACTTAACAACACAGGCCTGTGAGTATGGACAATTTTGAAATGAGTTGCTAAGGCTTAAAGATTAAGGTGGGGCTAAGGAGTAAATATTGAAAGTGCCACGGGCTGCCAAAAGAACCAATAGATCCATTTTGGAAGAAATGCAGCCAGAGTGCTCCTTGGAGGCCAAGATGGCCAAACTTCGTCTCTCATACTTCAGACATATTGTCAGGAGTTGCTGAAGAAGGATATCATGTTTGGTAAGGTGGAGGGTCAGAGAAAAAGAGGAAGAACCCCAATGAGATGGACTGGCCAAGTGGCAGCATCGATGGACTCAAGCGTGGCAACAGTAGTGAAGTTGGCCAAGGATCAGGCAGTGTTTCGTTCTGCTGTGCATAAGGTGGCTATGAGTCGGTACCGACTCAATGGCACTGTTATAACAACAACAACAACAATAAGGAGTAAAGATTACAGTGGTACTAATGATTTAAGGATGCCCCCACCTTAGTAAAGTTGTGACTTAAGTCTCCACCCTTAGTTTCCCTTGAGGGCACGGTCTGATTCCAATTTATAGCGGTTATGAGTCGGGCTGCTAACCTCAAGATCAGCAGTGCAAAACTACCAGCTGTTTCGCAGGAGAAAGAAGAGGCTTTCTGCTCTGGTACAGATTTACAGCCTTAGAAACCCTAGACAGGGTCGCTATGATTTAGAACCGATTCCACGGCACAAAACCAACCAACCAACCGTGGAAAAGCTTGCTCTCCTGCCCTGGAGCACGCATCAGGAAATCCATGAAATCCCTGGGGATTTCATTTTTGTGGACAATAAAAGAAATGTGCAAATGAAAAATACCCTACAGGTTGGTCTGCAGATTTTATGTTGTGCACATCAAGTGACCTTCAGTTTCCCAGCTAAGCTGTATCAGGAGTGATGTCGTCAGGGGTGACAAAGTCCACTGTGGCTTTAAAGAAATTCAGACTGTGGTGAAGACAGCAACAAAGACTTAGACATTTTGGACACTTGCTATTTGCTAAATTATCCTAAAGGGTTGACATGCATTAACTCTTATAACAGCGGAACAGCCCATGAGAGCTAGATGTGTTCTTCCTTTAGAGAGGAGACAATTGTCTCAGAGACTCGAAAAAGCTCTCCTTGGGTCAAACAGCTAAAGTACAGTCAGTACTGGAACCTAGGTGGATGGGCTTTAGAGACGAATATAAACAATCCAACAGAAAAGTAATAAAGTCCATAGGCAGCGTCTGGGCTAGATTGTGAAGCCCATACTACTCAAGTCAAGAGGAACTAGGGGACAGACTCTAGAGACTGGGGAAGAAAACTCTTTGCAAGCCAGTCATGCTGCATGTGTACCCAACTGCATCTACTGGGCCAGGCGCCCGATTCTGCAAACTTGAATAAAGAAAACTTCATGCTCACTAAAATTAGGACAAATTGGATTTAACTCCTCGATGACCTCATGACCAAGAGGAACTGAGGCAGTATTTGGGTCCCAACGTTTCTCACAGAGAGGGCGGGGTCACCAACCGAGAAGGAGTATTACCTGGGGAAGAGTATTCCCGGTTGCCTTGTTTTTTCCTCTTCCTTTGAGCTTCATTCTCAGGCAAGATCAGTCTTGAGACGTCAATCCTGAGTGTTGACAATGCAGTATTAAATGCTTAGAATTGCCAGAGCTCTTTCCTGTGTTGTAACCACACATACAGGGAGATCCTCATCATGGGGGAAAAGGGTCTCCTCTGCCCACGACCCCAGGTGGGCAATATCCTCCCACACAGAGACCAAAAGGGGACTTGACTGCTGTCTTTGGGTGAAGCCCATGCTTGCCTGCAACAGGGGATCTCGGCTGTACTTATCTCCCCTTCAGGTCACAGACCAGCCCTGACACCACACCTGATGCAAAACAGGGACCCTGCAGGCCTCCCTGAAACAGGAAGTGGCCTTGTGTTCAATGGTGTTAAGTGCCTCACAGGTGGATCTGAACTAACAATCTTGCAGTTAGCAGTGGAGTGCTTACCCTACAGTGCCATAGGACTCCTAGATGCAAATTATAATTACACGGGGCACTTTTAATCAATCATTCTTTTGGCTGGGCCCCACCTAGACTTTTTGAAGAGGGACTCTCCCAGAGCCTGCTGGGGGAATTAATTGTGTATTTGTAAAATGTTTCAGCAATTCAGTGTGCGATCAAGGCAGAGGGACTCAGAGGAGGCAAATTCAGCACACCTTCCGTCTGTGGCTCAGCTCTCCCTGTTGTTAAGTGCCAGCGAGTCAGTTCTGACTCATAGTGTCCCTAGATAGGGGTTTCCAGAGAGCAGCTGGTGAGTTTGAACCACCGACTTGTCAGTTCAAACTGACCTTGCAGTTCAGTGCATTATCCTGTAGCGCCACACCAGAACTCTGAGTCCTAAGACAGTGCTTTTACCTGCATCCAGCCAAGGCCAGTGGTAGGTGCAGAGACAAACACGCAGGGCAGGCATTAGGTGACAAGGGTGGGGATGAGCCTGGATGTGGCTGGAATGTTAAATCGGTGGTCAGAGAAGTTCACCTTCAGAATGTGGTACCAGAACAAAAAGTCAAGGGACGAATGGTGTCTGACACATGTATGTGGTCGGTTACGGCACTGGACTGAGAAGCTGGTTTGAACACGGGTGGTTCATGCTCACCAGCCGCTCCTTGCAAACCCTATACAGGGTCACTATGTGTCAGAACCGACTGGATGGCACTTAGCAACAACAATAGTGTGAGGGATCAGAGTTCCAAGCCGAGAAACCATCCATATGAAGACCCTAAGGATGAAGCAAACAAGGAGATGAGGCCAGAGAGGTCCTGAGAGAGTGGATCCGGAAGAGTTCCGAACCAAACTTTGGAAATGTGTGCCACGCAATGCTTTTCTCTTAATATACAGCCTTCGTGGTCTTGGTTTAGGATCCTGTCATAAGGCAGTCTGTCCCGTTTTATGCACGTTGCTATGGAAACCGTGGTGCAGTCCTGGTGTGGCGCAGGGGAGTAAACTCTGGGCCACAAGGATGATGGTTCAAATCCCCTGCAGAGTCGCGATGAGTCCGAAGCGACGCGATGGCGGTTAACAACAAAGCCACCCAACAGGACTGAGTGGCTTCCCTGGATTTTGTGGCCCTGAGATTGAGTAAGAGCTTGCTTATATAAAGCAGCCAAACCCACGGGGGGTTTTAGAGTAACGGAGAGCCGTAAGAGGAGTCCAGGGCTGCGGCGCTGGGCGGCCCGGGACAAGGAGGAAGGCACTCCTGGGGTACTCGCCAGTGGGTGGGGCCGCGGCCTTGGGGGGACCCAGGGGCAGAGTCTGATATCCCCGCATAAACCTGCAGATACGAGGGGAACAACTAAGTGGCCTTTTTCCTAAGACGGGCGGCCGGGGTCCCAGGAACGAGGTGGGGGGTCCCCACAGGCTCTCCGGGTGAGGCCTGCTCTCCGCGCAGGGCGGCCAGGAGATAGGGATTTTCAGCAGATACACGACGCGGCAAGCGGCGTGTGCACGGCCCGAAGGCAGAAAGGCAGGGAACGTGAGCCACCTCAGCGCAATTTTACACAGGAACGAACGTCTCACGGCCGCGCGAGGATCTCCGGGTGCAGAGACGTTAACGTCGGGAGCGACCCTCGGAGCTAAATGTGGAGGACACAGACTGGGAAGAGCAGATTTAAAATGAGAGACACAGGAACTCACTCACCTCACAGCAGTTTTCGTCTCCGACAAGCAGCTTCCGTGTTTGCAGTAAACTGCGCAGGCGCGAGGTGGGTTAGATCCGTAACGGCGTGGGGCGGAGTCAAAGGGGAGAGGCGGGGCTGGGGCGGAACTCACGCCTCCTTGGAATCCTCAACGGATTTTTTTTGTTTGTTTGGAAACCCTGGAAAGACTTCAACGTGGAGTGGAGAAAGGTTACTTTCTGCCTGTTGTTAAGTTAGTGCTTCACACACTTTAAGGTAAAAGCTTAAAAGTTGCGCTTACCTAACCGAATGATGAACTATTTGAAATCAAAAGGGCAGCATTCAGCTAAGACTGGAGCTCGGGTAGCGTGCTGGTTACGAATCGGGCTGCTAAACTCACGGTCTGCAGTTTGAAACTACCAGCTGTTCCGCGGAAGAACGAGGAGGCTTTCTGCTCCCGTACAGTTACTAATGTTACTGTAATGAGCTCTGGTAGAGTAGTGGTTATGAATTGGGCTGCTAACCTCAAGGTCGGCAGTTTGAAACTACCAGCTGTTCCACGAGAGAAAGATGCGGCTTTCTGCTCCCGTACAGATTTGCAGCCTCGGAAACCCTGTACAGGGTCACTATGGGTCAGAACCGACTGCGCGGCACGTAACAGCAAGAAGAGCTCAGAAACACTGGAAGAGATGTAGAAATGCTTCCTTGGGAGGATTACAATCACTGAGATGAAAGGAAGTGTGTCCGATTTGTTGAATGTAAAACATTCACCCAGTTAAAAGAAAAAACAACTTTTAGAGCTGTGTGGATACAGACTGTGAGCTGCAGTGTTTTCATAATAACCATTTACAGTTTAAGTTGGAAATATTTTTTTCCAAAAGGGTGAGGTGCTAGCAACTCAGGGGTTTACTTAGGCAGGTCTTCCAGAGAAACAAAGCCAGTGAAATGTATATGTATATGGTAGTGTGCTGTTTGATTCACAGCGACCTTGCATAGGGTTTCCGAGGCTGTCAATCTTTACCGAAGCAGAAAGCCTCATTTTGCTCCCAGGGAACTGCTGACCTTGATTTAGCAGCCTGATTCCTAACCATTATGGTACCAGAACTCCTTCCTATAATTGTTAAGGGCTGTTGAGTCGGTTCTGACCCATAGTGACCTTGTATAGGGGTTTCTGAGGAGCAGCTGGTGAACTTGAACCAGCAGAAAACAGCAAGCCTTCCCCCCTCTCCCATTATATTGGGAGCAGGCCACACCCTCAAGGAAACATACTTTCAATTGATTAGCTGGTTGTATCCAATCATCCTAGAGTGAAATATGCCTATTCATAGCCAGTCATCTAAGAGTTATGATGCCTGTTTTAGAGGATTTGTTACGTGCCATTGAGTCGTTCAGACCCTATAGAGGGTTTCCGAGGAGAAACTGGTGAGCTTGAATCACTGACCTTGCCATTCAAACCAACTTTGCAGTCCAGTGCATTAACCCACAGCCTCACATTAGGACTCCGTGTTAGAGGATTACCACATCTCAAAGCCACCGGGAATCCTGGCCCTGTTAAGTTGACACAAAACCCTATTACAGTGGTCAAGGTGTTGAGACCTCCCTGGAAGGCTGAATCTACGTCTGAAGCTGATTGGATCCAGGAACATGTTGCTGTTGTTAGGTACCATTGAGCTGTCTGACTCATAGAGACCTTATGCACAACAGAACAAAATACTGCCATTTTCTTCCTACCCCACCCTCACAAATGTTACATTTAAGCCCGCGACGCTGCCACTATGTCAATCCACCTCATTGGGGGTCTTCCTCTTTTTCGCGGACCCTCCACTTTACCAAGCACGATGTCTTTCTCCAGGAACTAGTCCCTCCTAATAACATGTCCGAAGTATGAGAGACTAAGTCTGACCATCCTGATGTCTAAGGAGCATTCTGGCTGTACTTTTTCCAAGACAGATTGGTTTGTTCTTGTGGCAGCCTATGGTATTTTTAATATTCTTCTCCAGCACCATAATTCAAATACATCAATTTGAATTCCACAGTCTGTCTTATTCATTGCCACACTTTCCCATGCGTATGTTGTTGTTTTGTTATTAAGTGCCATCAAGCCGATTCTGACCCATAGCAACCCTGTATAGGATTTCTGAGGAGCAATTGGTGAGCTTGAAACACCACTTCTGTCTGTATGAACAGCCCTGACTGGGTTTAACCTGGGCCCATACCTGTTTCAGAAGTCTTGGCTGGTTTTTCTGGTTCTCCCTCTCCTTTTGAGTCCAGTGGGGAGAGGTGGGTGCGGCAAGGAGGAGGGACTGTTTAACTGTCTAATGTGGCGGTGGTGCGCTGTCTCATCTGCAGAGGGGAGCTCTCCATCAGCTACTTCCCAACTCTGATCCAGTGGCTCAAGGGGTCAGTGCCGTCAGTTTCCGAGTCAAGGAACCAAATGTTACAGCAGTTTTAGATTTGTTGTCGAAGAAACCGAGGCCACTCAGAGAGGTGAAGCAGAGTTTCAGATTTTATTCAGCCGGCTGGCTTGGAGGACCTAATTTCTCCAGATTCTGAGCCTGGAATGGAGGGCAACATGGGCCTATATAGGGTCAGAGGCAGGGAGGGGCCAGGCTGAAAACCTGTTTGAGCGCAGGGAAAAAACCAGGGGGACTGGTCCCATTTGGTGACCTGATTAGCATTTTAGCTTGTCTCCTGGTTGGAGAAGGCAGTAAATGATTTTTACCTTTTCCTGTTCAGTATTGCACTTAACAGATGTGAGTATACTGTAAACATATCTTTTATATGTATGTGGAAACCCAAATATTCACAACTCGCTGTATTGCTAGAACTGCTTTCTTGCAGTAGTCTGGAACCAAACACCACCATCTCGGAGGTATGACTGTACTTAGTCATTTCCATGTGCTATATATGTGCGCACACATTATTTTATATAAATACGGTAATGGTAAGACTGAGAAAATGATTTAATTCATTATTTACATTTACTAGGTTTCTTTCCAGTAGGAATTCTTTCTGGATAAGAGGTAACCAAATAGAAAACACTTTGCTCTCCCAAAATGAATTCTCAAATTATTTGGAAGCTGCAAATTTTAAGTACTGACCTTTCTTTATACACTGCATTGATCATTTCACCCCCAAATGTACCTTCTGGTATTAATTAAAGACTGAGTCCCAATGAAAGGTTTTGTTACTTACTATATATATATTTTCGCAAGAGTGAGGTTTTCTTTATTTGATTTTGCAAAATTGGGTGCCCAGCCCTGAAGATACAGGCAGATGTGCTGCATGGCCATTTGACACAGAGTTTTATTAACCTAACTCAGAAAAGGCCCCTCCTCTGTTTCCCCTTTACTGGGTACTTTGGAGTTTACAATCTTTCCCAAATGGTGTCTACTAATCCCTACAGGGAGCAGTCTCATTTAAAGTTAGTTTTACTTCCTCCCCATGAATTTCCCCTACTTCCTTGATGGGTGTATTTTTATTTTAAAAGAGTCTAGTAGGTCAAACTAGTCTCTTCCTCTTCTCAGAGTTCCCATTTGTCATGCCAACCTGTTACCCCCAAGATTTCCTTGATTCTGAAGATGGATCACTGACAGCTATTTCTCAGAATTTCTCCTCTTTTCTCTTTACACACATTGGTCCATCTTCATTTATACTTCTCAAAACTATTTAGTATCTATTGGCGCTTTTATTTTTTTATAAAGTGTATCACTTCTCAATGTTCCTAAGAGTACAACTAACTATGCCTATATTAGGTTGCATACTTATGCCTGATATAATGAAAACACATACAACCAAAACCGCAATGGCCCCATTTTCTTCTTATATATAACGAATGAACAAATCATAAATACTTGATGCACACATAAATGTCCAAAAGCCAATCTCCAGCCCATAGGCACACAACCTCATTCAGCCCGAGGGCCTAGAGTCCATAGCTGTCCCATGTCACCACTTCTGCCACCATCTCTGCTGTTGCTGCTTACTTACTATATTTTTAAGGTTTCTATCTGGTATGGATTCTCAAATGAACTGTGAGATTTGAATTCTGACTGAAGTCCACACCACATACGCTGCATTTGTATGGCTTCTTTCCAGTATGGATTCTCTGGTGCCTACTGAGGTGTGAAGTAGAATTGAAGGCTTTGCCACACTCCTTACATCTGTAAGGTCTCTGCATCCAATGGACTCTCTGATGTTCTATAAGGGTTTCTCTTTGGGTAAAAGCCCTCTCACAGTCGTTACATTTGTAAGGTTTCACTCCAGAATGAATTTTTCGATGCTCCACAAGTTTTGTTCTTCGGATAAACGCCTTACCACATTCAATACATTTATAAGGTCGCTCTCCAGTATGAATTCTCTGATGAGTTGTAAGGCCTGAAGGTCGACTGAAGTCCTTGTCACATACATTACATTTGTAAGGTCTCTGCATCAAATGAATCCTCTGGTGATCAATAAGGTTTGCTCTTTGGGTGAAAGCTTTTCCACAATCAGTACATTTGTAAGGTTTCTCTCCAGTATGAATTCTCCGATGTTCTACAAGGTGTGTTCTTCGGATAAATGCCTTACTACAGTCAATACACTTATAGGGTCTCTCTCCAGTATGAATTCTCTGATGAGTTGTAAGGCCTGAATTTCGAGTAAAGACCTTATCACATACATTGCATTTATATGGTTTCTCACCGGTATGAATTCTCTGATGTCGAGTTAAGTGTGAGCCTTTAGTGAAGGATTTTCCACATATGTTACACATGTAAGTTTTCTCTCCAGCATGAATTTTCCGATGTTCTACTAGTTTTGATCTTTGAGTAAAAGCATTATCACATTCAGTACATTTGTAAGGTCTCTCTCCACTATGAATTCTCTGATGCGTTCTAAGGCCTGAATGTCGACTGAAGATTTTGCCACATACATTACATTCATGTGGTTTTTCACCAGTATGGATTTTCTCATGTCTAGTTAGGTTCGAGCCAAAGTTAAAGGTTTTACCACAAACACGACATCTGTAAGGCTTCTCTCCAGTATGAATAATCAGATGAGCTAAGAGATGTCCATTCTGACTGAAGATCTTCCCACATAAATTACACTGATACAGCTTCTTTCTAGTAGGGACCTTGACATTTTTAGTGAGGTTTGAGGCACTGTAAAAGGCACTGAGAATTTTGTGATGGCTTGTAATCACTGTTTCGTCATCTCCGCGCTGGCTCTGCAAACTCTCTCGGACTTGTCTGAAGTAAACACCCTCAGTGTCATGACTTTCATGTCTTTCCAACATCATTCTCTGGAACAATTCTCCTTTACTAACGATCTCTTTTGGTGGTAATTCCTTCATGAGAGATTTAGAAAAGAAATCTGAAAGACACAAAGAGCCAGAGGCTTCCCATTAACACCAGTTGGAAAATAGTTTACATTGAAAACCATATTTCTCTATCAACAAAAATACTTATAAGGAAGAGTTTTGAAACTTTAATGACAAGAAACAAAAAATTAACAGGATTTCTTAATAATGAAATGATGATTACATGTGATTACAATTATTTCCGCAGAAGTAGAGTTTCAAGAACCCTAGGACCATACTGGACCCCTGGTGTGGTGCTGTAGGATGAACACTGTACTGAGAACCACAAGGTTGGTGTTTCAGGCCCAACAGCTGTTCCACGGAAACCCTGTACAGGGTCGCTCTGAGTTGGAACCGACTGGATGGCACTAACCACCATACCATTTATGCTCTGCTCCATGAAACCACATCAGCCTTAAGAGGGTACAGTCCTAAAGACATACAAGTTGACAGCTTTAATATGGCTGCTTCATATTAACACACAAGACATATATTAAAGAATTCTAATGTATAAATACAGTGGGGCTTCAAAGAGTTCATTGAAAAGTTCCATAATCTTTCAATTCCAGTTTCCCACAAATATTTTAAAGCCCCTTTGCACTGTTTACAAGTAAATGCTAAAGCACAGACCTATGTAATGTAATGGTAAGTAATCCTGAATTAAATTTCCTACTGAATAAGCTCTGCCACTCGTCTGTCAAGTTTGTCGTACTGTGGGGCTTGTGTGTCACTGTGATGCTGGAAGCTATGCCACGGGTATTCTAAATACCAGCATGATGGCCTCTGCTGGACAGGTTTTAGCTGAGCTTTCAGATGAAGACAGACTAGGAAGGAAAGACGGACTACTTCCGAATAATTAGTCACTGAAAAGTTTAAGAATAGCAGTGGAACACTGTCAGTACCAGAATATTGAAACACGATGAAGAGCACCAGAATATTGTCAGATATAGTGCCAGAAGATGAGTCCCTCAGGTTGGAAGGCGCTCAAAATATGACTGGGGAAGAGCTGCCTCCTCTAAGTAGAGCTGACCATGATAACATGAGTGGAGAAAAGTCTTTGGGACCTTTATTTATTGATGGGGGCACAACTTAAAATGAAGAGAAACAGCTGTACACTTCCATTAATAATTAGAACATGTAATATACGAAGTATGAATCTAGGAAAATGGCAAGCTGTCAAAAATGAAATGGAATGCATAAACATCGATAGCCCAGGCATTATTGAGCTAAAATGGCCTGGTAATGACCATTTTGAATCTGACAATCACATGGTTAACTATGCTAGGATTGACCAACTGAGGAAGAATGGCATCACATTCGTCATCAAAAAGAACATATCAAGATCAGTCTTGAAGTCTTATCTGTGATAGGACAATATCCATACACCTCATTAGAAAAAAGTCAACACCTCTATTCAAATTTATGCACCAACCACTAAAGACAGTGATGATGAAATTGGAGAATTCTATCAACGCCTACAGTCTGAAAATGATCAAATGTGCAATCAAGATGCATTGATAGTTACTGGCAACTGGAATACAAAGATTGGAAATAAAGAGGAAGGATCAGTAGTTGGAATTTATAGCCTTGATGATACAAATGATGCTGGAGATCACATGATAGAATTTTACATGAACAATGACTTTTTCATTGCAAATACCTTTTTTAAACATCATCAAAGGTGACTATACACATGGCTCTCAGCAGATATATTACAATTTGACTACATCTATGGAAAGAGATGGTGGAAAAGCTCCATATCATCAGCCAAAACCCGGCCAGGGGCAGACTGTGGAACAGATCATCAATTGCACATATGCACGTTCAGGCTAAAGCTGAAGAAAATGAAAACAAGTTCATGAGAGCCAAAATATGACCTTGAACATATCCTACCAGAATTCAGAGACCATCTCCAGCACACATTTGATGCATTAGATACTAAAGAACAAAGGCCAGAAGAGCTGTGGGATGACATCAAGAACATTAAAGAGGAAGAAAGCGATAGGTCATTAAGTAGACATGGAAGAACTCAAAGACCAAAATGGATGTCAGAAGAGACTCTGAAACTTGCTTTTCTGCATAGAGATGCTAAAGCAAATGGAACAAATGTGGAAGTAACAGAGTGGAGTAGAAAATTTCAAAAGGCAGCTCGAGAAGACAATGTCAAATATTATAATGAAATGTTCAAAGCCCTGGGCTGAATGCACTTAGCACTCCTCAAGCTGAGGGAACTGAAGAAAAAATTCAAGCCCCAATACAATATTGAAGGATTCTAAGGGGAAAATATTGAATGATGCAGAAAGCATCAAACGAAGATAGAAGGGAGAATTAAAAAACAAAAACAAACAAAAAGGAAGATGGAAGGAATACACAGAGTCACTGTACCAGACAGAGATGGTTGATGTTCAACCATTTGAGGAGGAAGCATATGATCAAAGCGCCAATGATCCTGAAGGAAGAAGTCCATGGTGCACTAAAGGCACTGGCAAAGAACAAGGTTCCGGGAACTGAGGGAGTACAACTTGAAATCTTTCAACGAGCTGATCTAGCACTGGAAGCACTCACTCATCTCTGCCAAGAAATTTGGAAGACAACTACCTAGTCAACTGACTGGAAGAGATCCACATATGTGCCCATCCCAAAGAGGTGACCCAATAGACTACAAGAATTATCGGGCAGTATCATTAAGGAGCTCTGGTGGCATAGTGGTTACAAATTGGACTGTGAACTTCAAGGTCAGCAGTTCGAAACTACCAGCTGTTCCACAAGAGAAAGATGAGGCTTTCTGCTCCCATAAAGATTTACAGCCTTGGAAACCCTGTACAGGGTTGCTATGAGTCAGAACTGACTCCACGGCACATAACCACCACCACCATCATTACTATCCTAGGCAAGCAAAATTTTACTAAAGATAATTAAAAAATGGCTACAACCATACATTGACAGTGAATTTCCAGAGTTTCAAACCAGATTCAGAAGAGGATGTGGAACGAGGCATATCATTGTTGACGTCAGATGGATCTTGGCTAAAAGCAGAGAATACCAGAAAGATGTTTATCTGTGCTTTACTAACTTACACAAAAGCTTTCGATTGTGTGGCTCATAACAAGCTATAGACAGCGTTGCAGAGAATGAGCATTTATGAAAACTTAACTGTGCTCATGAGGAACCTGTACATAGACCAATAGGCAGTTGTTCGAACAGAACAAGGGAGCACTGAATGGTTTAAAATGAGCAAAGGTGTGTGCTAGGGTTGTATCCTTTCACCATACTTAATCTGTATGCTGAGCAAATAATTCAAGAAGCTGGATTATATGAAGAAGAACGTGGCATCAGGATAGGAGGAAGGCTCATTAACAACCTGCGATATGCAGATGATACAACTTTGCTTGCTGAAAGTGAAGAAAGTTTAAAATACTTACGAAGATTAAAGACCACACTGTTTGGTATGGGTTACACCTTAACACAAAGAAAACAAAAATCCTTACCACTGGACCAATAAATAACTTCCATATAAATGGCGAAAAGATTGAATTTGTCAAAGATTTCATTTTGTTCAGATCAACCATCACCACTCATGGAGGTAGCAGTGGAGAAATCAGGTGACGGATTGCAGTGGGTAAATCTGCTGCACAAGACCTCTTTAAAGATGTCAGTTTGAGGACTAAGGTGCACCTGATAAGAACCATATTTTCAGTCACTTCATACGCATGTGAAAATTGGACAGTGAATAAGGAATACAGTATGTGGTGCTGTGGGTTAATGCGCCAGACTGCAAAGCCGTTTGAACTGCAAGATTGGTGGTTCAAGCTCACCAGTCACTCCTCGGAAATCCTATACAGGATCGCTACGGGTCGTAACCGACTCGATGGCACTTCACAACCACAACAACAACAGAATTGATGCATTTGCGTTATGGTTTTGGAGACTATTAAAGTTGCCACTGACTGCCAAAAGAACAAACCAATCTGTGTTGGAAGAAGTACAGACAGAATGTTCCCTGGAAGGCAAGATGGCTACCCTTAATCTCTCATCCTTCAGCCATTGTCAGGAGGGACCAGTCCTTTGAGAAGGACATCATGTTTGGTAAAATGGAGGGTCAGAGAAAAAGAGGAAGACCCCCAACGACATCGACTGGCACAGTGGCAGCAGCAATGGGCTCAAATGTAGCCACGATTGTGAGGCCACCAATGGAAGATCAGGCAGTGTTTTGTTCTGTTGCTGCTGTGAGTCGGTACTGACTATACTGCCTAATCCTGATTCCTACTTGTAGCTGTTGATTCTGATCCCATCTCACTTCCTCAATAAACGATATGAATGTATTATTTGTGAGTTCTATGTGGCCATTTCAGCAAATTATCAAAACCAGTGGATAAGCAGAGAGTGTCCTTGGGAGGCCAGCTGGTGTGAGAACTGACCAACGTTGGGAGAGTGAAGGTGCATCTCACTTTACCTCACAGGACTCACCTGTGGCTGATCCTGACGGTGAGTCTCAGGGTCCCTGAAGTTAGACAAGGCCTGACGCTATCCCCACCACGTTACCACTACTGCACTGGAAACAAGGAGGGATCCAAAGGAAGAGACACCTAGAAACAGGTCTAAGGATGCTCTTGAGCTAACTTTGGAGCATGGTCCCACTGGAAGCATCAATGTCAAGAGGGGCTGCCCCAAGGAAGGACAATACTTCTAAGAAGAGGATGTGCCCAGAACTTTCTAGTTCAGAGTCTGTTACTGTCTTCGCTGCATATGTGTGCTTGAGGCCTCACTCAAGAGTCATGACTGACAGCATCACACATGACGCTGAACTCATGTGCCCCTTCCTATTCGAGGTTAGTTGATGAGGTGGTGTCTGTGTGGCCCCCATGAATGCACCAGGTCCAAACAAACACACCCTGGGAAATTCCAAGAGTTATCTTTCAGGAATCAGAGATAAAAGCCAAATGGGATTCATTTTCTAACAGGGACCTGAACAGAGAGGGAAATCTTGGAAAACCCTGTAGACGCTGGAAGAGCTGGCAATGTTTGACTCAAGAAGGACTTTCAATGATGTAGAATGAGGATGAAGGTGGATAGACCTTCCAGGACAATGGAGACCTCCCTCAGCTTTGACACCATGAATGGAGGATAAGATGGAGTCAATGCAGAAGGAGAACGTGAGGGCCAGAGAACCCATCAGCAAGAACTCTCTGTGTCTCCTGAAAAGCCAGGCACCAAGGACCTCACAGAGGCCAGAGCAGCTGGCTGTAGGTCACAACAGACTTTCCCTCTGTCCCCGGGCGCGGGAGCAGCCTGGAGAATGAACTTTACACGTCTGAAGGGAGTGCTAAGTGGAGGGCGGCCCAGAGACAGCGAGGAAGGAAGTTTCCTTTCACACACTGTAAGAAATACACGAGTGTTTTCCCACTTGGAGAGCTTCCCAAACGACATTAATGGCATCCTTTCATCACTAAAAGGAGCTAGTGGTGCTGTAGGATAAACACCGGCCTGCTAACCACAAGGTTGAAAGTTCAAATCCACCAACTACTCTGCGGGAAGTTGAGGTTTTTTGCTGTTGTAAAGATTTACAACCTCGGAAATCCCGTCCAGGGACACTGTGAGTCAGAATTGACTCAATGGTCGAGGGTCTTCTCCTCTAAAGGGGCCCTGGTGGTGCAGTGAGCTAAGTGTTGGGATGCTAACCTCAAGGTCAGCGGTTCAAACCTACCAGCTGCTCTGAAGCGAGAAAGATGAGGCTGTCTCCTCCCATAAAGATTCCATCTCAGAAACCCTAGAAGCTCGTTCCTGTCCTAGAGGGTGACAGCGAGTCAAAGCAGATGGCCAGCACTGGGTCTCTTTTGTTTTTTCCTTTCTATCAGAGCGCTGGTTGTTAAGTCCTTGGGGTCGGTTCTGACACACAGCAACCTGGTATGGGGTTTCCGAGGAGCGGCTGGTGGGTTTGAATTACCGACCTTGCAGTACAAACAGACCTTGTGGTCGTCCAGTATTTATCCTACAGCACCACACCAGAACTCTATCTGTGTGCTTATCAATCCTGGATCCGTTTCCACTTACCTGGGTTGTGTGCTCTACCCATCATGCCGTCTACAGCCCAGGGCTCGGTCCCTGTCTTCAGAATGGAGACAATATTCACCTCAGAAGGAGAGATTCCTGATTATAATAAGAAAAAGGAACATGAGCTTTCCAAAACAAAAGCCAAGCCAGTTTTTCAGCTTAGAACATCACATATGACTCTAGAAAATTATTTCAAAACTGATTACCACCTTCAAAATCCTTAAGGAGTATGTTAAATCTTTAGCTATCTAGCTCTCTTCTAACAGCTACTGAATCAAAAGGACAGATGGAACTTCACAGAATTGGATACATTACAAGTAAGCCATGAGGTACATGCAGAAACTTGAACTGGTATACATTATATTTAACAAAGGAGCTGCAGTGGCATACTGGTTATGTGTTGGGCTGCTAACTCTAAAGTCAGCAGCAAAAAATTACCAGCTGTTCCGCGGGAGAAAGATGAGACTTTCTGCTCCCATAAAGATTCACAACCCTGGAAACCCTGTACAGGAATGCTATGAGTCAGAGCCGACTCCGCGGCATATAACCATCATATGTTTAACAACAACAACAAAATAAAGTCTATTAAAACAAAACACAAAAAAACTTCTAGTAAAAAGCAAGTTAGCTGTTTACACTTAGTTGCATTAACTCTGGTTCTTAGATTTCTGTGGTTAAAACTTCCAGCTGCTGAAAAATCTATAGTTAACAGTTTTAACACAATAGAGAATAAAAGCATTAGTGGCTTTATCAGGGCAAGAGAAAGGCGAGCCAGGCCTTCATGCTGCTACTGGCATTAGTTACAGTGTGTTACAAAGCTGTACCCAAATTACCTCTCATTCAAAGAACTGTGTATATTTATATACTATTATATCTACATATACAAAATTTTATTTTATAGCTGAAAGAAGTAAATTTTGATACTTTCATAACACATAATAACTAATGCTGGAAACAGGATGAAGTACTTGCTTTCCTTTCTCTTGCCCTAATAATGGAATAATTAATAAACTGCATGTATGTATGTACGTATGTATGTATGCATGTACGTATATACATACACACACAAGTATATTTTTTCTTGGTGTGGCACTGTAGGATCAGCACTGAACTGTGGACCATAAGGTCAGCAGATCAAAACCACCAGCTGCTCCTTGGAAACCCTATACTGGGTCACTATGCAGTTAACAACAACAACAACACATACATACATAATGGTTCTGTCGGCTAATAAGCACAGGACTGCAAGGTCAGTTTGAACCATAATGTAGGTGGTTCAAATTCACCAGTCGCTCCTTGGAAACCCTCCACTGGGTTGCTGTGAGTCGCACTTAGCAACAACAACAATATATATGTACATATATTAAAAGTAAGCCGTAAGGTTTCATGCTTACTCAAGCTCTGGCAACAACAATGCTGTAGTGCAAAGCGATCAAATCATGTGAAGAAAGCGGAAGACTAGAGGCCAGGTACTACACTGTGAGGCTTTTCATTTCTGAAACCATCTCCCATTGCCCGCCTTAAGGTGAGAGACTTCAGAGTACTGTATTATAACACAGATACTGTGCAGGTTAAGTGATGTTTGTCCCTCCTCAACCCCAGATTCCGCGTGTTTTCTACTCATACCACGTGTGTTATGTACACGTGCAGTGTGGATTACATGGGCAAACACTGTACATCAGGCAGAGTAGGGGCTTCTAAGAGACTCACACGGAAGATAGAAAGATACCCAAGGGCAGATCCTGACTTCTGCGGGGAAGTCAGGCTCACCGAGGGAGACCAGGTTCCTGTAGTTCTCCAACATCACGTCCCGGTATAGAGCTCTCTGCGCAGGCGCCAGGCAGTCCCACTCCTCCTGAGAGAATTCCACGGCCACGTCCTTGAACGTGAACAGTCCCTGCAATGGGAAACACATCTCACCAAGTACAGAAAGGAAAGCTCTAATTTTCGAGAAAATGATGGGAGGAATGCATACGAATCAACTGAAATAACACGATGGAAAATGGAGAGAAGGTCGCTGTTGTCATTTTTCTTGGATCCACACTCAACGTTCACGGAAGTCGTCAAGAAGTCCAACGACCTAGTGCACTGGCAAAGTTAAAAATGTTACAGAGCAGAGACGTCCCCTTGAGGACTAAGGGCTGTTTTTAACCACCTCATATGCATGTGAAAGCTGCAAAAGGAACACAGGAAACTGGAGAATCGATGCCTTTGAATTATAACACTGATGAAGAATATGGAATATATCATGGACTGCCAAAAGCACGTACATTACGCACTACACACTAAGACAGACATTTCACTAACTGAAGCTAGATGGAGACGAACTTAAATGAGTGAGAGAGGAGAGGAGGAAACTCTCAGGAGAGCCCTTCAGGAAGGAGAGGAGGGGACCATGCTCTGGGAAGGTGACGGTTACCTGAGAAAGAACCATCCTAGACTCCGCTTTCTTTCCTCTTCCTTTGGGCTTCATTCTCAGACAAGAGGAGTCTTTTTTTTTTTTTTTTTTTTTTGACAAGGTGAGTCTTGACAAGTCAATCCTGAGTGTTGAAAAAAAATATCCTGTTAAATGGCTGCCATCAACACATCACTTTCCCAGGTCAGAACCACACAGGTCAGGAGGTCCTCTTCATGGGGGACAAGAGGGTCTCTGCTTCCTGCGGTACAAGGAATCCAGAAACAACAAATTCTTACACAGACACTCATTAACAGCAGTGGTTATAGCTCTCCCCTCGTAAAGCTCACGCTTGGCTGCAGTAGGGAGATCTGGGCTGAGCTGACTTCTCCTTCAGGTCCCAGACCAGCCCTGGTACCATATCCCAGGCAGACAGCAGAAGTCTTTCAGCTCCTGAGAATCCTTGGTGCTCACTGTTACCTACCTTACTTAAAACCACCTGGGGTACTTGAAACATTCTATTTGAAGGGAAATCTCTGAAGAGGGGCCTCAACTGATGTACCTGTATAATGCCTCAGCCATCCAGGGTGAAGCCAGGGCTGGGTCTGCTCAGAGGAGCCAACTGTAGCACACATACCTGCCAGCTATGGTTCTGCTCTGTGCAGAGACTATGATGTCGTGCAAAAGGGGAAGGGGCAGAACCCTTTTGTATCATGGGCGGGGGCAAAGGTGTGGAAGAAATGTCCTATGAGGGTCAGAGAAGCCTGCCCCAAGAAAGGGATGTGACAAAGAACTCAAGAATGATGGTGTCTATTGGGTGCATCTGAGAGGTCAGGAGGCTCCAGGCAGAGGGACCATCCACAGGAAGACCCTGAGGCAGTCAGGCTTCTGGCCAGGGAGCCTCAGGAAGCAGAGCACCAAGGACCTAGTGATTATCTGAATCATCCTCAGATAATTTTACTCCCCCATAAGGAGCTCTGGTAGTGTAGTGGTTATGAATTGGGCTGTGACCGCTAGGTCAGCAGTTCGAAACCACAAGTGGTTCCATGGGAGAAAGATGAGGCTTTCTGCTCCCGTAAAGATTTATAGTCTCGGAAACCCTGTGCAGGGTCGCTATGAGTCAGAACTGACTCCACGGCACTTAACAACAACATACATTGAAAGCATTTTGGAAACCATGTGTCATGGACTAAAATGATGTGTCGGGTTAGCTTGGTCATGTTTTCTACTAGCATATGATTACAAGTATCTACATGTCGTAGATCCTAAAACCTCTATGAGGTGAGATTAAGGTGGGGTGGATCTAGAGGGTGAGACTCAAGAACTCAAGTAGGGCTCTTCCTCATGTTACAATTTTTATCTTACAAAAGCTAACAGGAAAGTGAAGTAAGTAGAAAGACCTCACTCCCACTACGGAAGACAAGCTGCATGTGGAGCATGCCCTTTGCGCCCAGGCTCCTTGTGCTGAGAACCTGCTAGACCCCAGGGAAGTCTGCCGACAAGACCCATGGTCATCTCTCAGGAATCACACCTTCCTCCAGAGCCAGAGCCTTCCTCTAGAGCTGGTGTTCGGAAGTTTTTGCTTGGATCCACAATCAACACTCGTGGCGGCGGCAGTCAGGAAATCAAATGATGCACTGCATTAGGCAACTCTGCTGCACAAGACTCTCTAAAAGTGTTCAAGGGCAAAGATTCCAGTTTGAGGATTAAAGTGCGCCTGACCCAAGCCATGCTATTTTCAGTGGCCTGATAATACATGTGAAAGTTGGACGATGAATTAAGGAATCAGAAAAATCGATGCATATGAATTGTGTTGTTGGAGAAGACTATTGAAGACCTCCAAAAGAAGAAACCAATCTGTCCTGGAAGAATTCCAGCCAGAAGACTGCTTACAGTTGAGGATGGTGAGACTTTGCGCTTTATTCTGTTGGGCACAGGGTTGCTGTAAGTCAGACGTAACTTGATGGCACCTAACAGCAGCCTTCTAAACAGGAAGAGATAAATGTGTTACAGTCAACCAGGTGTGGCTTTGCTTCTTTAAAAGCGCTGGACAACTTGATGATGATGATGTTAAATACCGTGGAGTCGCTTCCGACTCACAGTGACCCTGTACAGGGTTTCCGAGGCTGTAAATCTTTACGGGAACAGACTGCCTCATCTTTCTCCCACAGAACCTCTGGTAGTTTTGAACTGCCGACCTTGAAGTTAGCAGCCCGATTCGTAACCACTACGCTACCAGAGCTCCTTAATTTATGTGGACCACTTAGACATCGTGTATTCCCACACCTATTTTAAGGTAACATCCAGTTGGTTTTTTTTCTCCATTTCTTCATTTCATCGTAAGTTGTAGAATAAGCACTGGGTTGCTAATGGCAAGGCTGACCCTTTAAACCCACCAGCTGCTCCTTGGAAACCTTACACAGGGTTGGTATGAGTCAGAACGGACTTGACAACACTTAACAACAACAAAGCTAAATTTAAGCACTTAACAAATAATGCACGGTTTTGTCTATTTTTTAAAAAAATCCAAAAGAGCCGCTGGATCATATTAATTTATGCACAAAAAGCATTTGGCAAAATCTAGAGACCATTTCTTATAAAAAACATTCAACAAAATAGGAATAGACAGGAAATTCCTCAACATAATTAAGGATAGCGCTGGAGGATAAGCACTGGACTACAAGGTCAGTGTGATCACAAGGTTGGTGGTTCATACTTACCCAGTCCCTCATCAGAAACCCTATATAGGGTCGCTCTAAGTTGGAACCGACTGGAAGGCACGTAACAACAACAATAAGGGTTTCGGAGACCACAAATCTTTCTGGAAGCAGACTGCTTCATCTTCCTCTCGCTGAGCAGCTAGTGGTTTTGAACTGCCAACTCTTCACTTACCCAAGTGCACCACCAGGGCTCCTTTGAGACAAGACTGCTGCAACCCTGTTTAGGGTTTCCGAGGAGCGACTGGTGGGTTTGAACCACCGACCCTGTGGTCAGCAGTCCAGCATTTACACTACAGCTCCAGACCTCCAGAGAGAAGATTAGAGAGAAGACAAAGGCACAGCTTGACTTCAATCTTCAGAGTTCCCCTTTCCTCTGGATTTAGGAGCTCTGGTAGCGTAGTGGTTAAGAATTGGGCTGCTATCATCAAGGTCAGCAGTTCGAAACTACCAGCGGTCTCGCGGGAGAACGATGAGGCTTTCTGCTCCCGTAAAGATTTACAGCCTCGGGAACCCTGTGCAGGGTCGCTATGGGTCGGAATCAACTGGACGGCACATAACAACAACAACTTCCTAGACCGTTGGCTCACTCTTGCCGGCCTCCAGCCTCGATCCCGCCATCTGTCGGGGGCTCTCCCTCTGTCTTCTGTTCGCTACATAGTTGGATTTCTCCCGCCCTCGGGTCCACATTGGCGCAGGGATGGAGCGCACTGGCAGGAAGTGGGATCCGGGACGAAGACGACAGAGTGTCCCATGAGGTCAGGGAGGAAGCGGAGACTGCGAAGGGGGGGCCAAAGGCCGACGTGAGCTCAGGTCTCAGAGCCCCAGGACCAGGAGAGGACCAGAAGAGGACGATGGGGCGGCCGGCTGGAGGAGAGGGGCAGGCCAGGCGGGGCTCAGGGAAGAGTTTTCAGCAGTAATACGATGTAGTATTCACCGCCCAAGGGCCGACACACCGGGGGCTGGGACCCGCTTCCACGCAACTGTCACAGAAACGGACGCGGACGCCCGGCCGGCGGCGGCAACTGGGGGCCGGAAAGGTCTCTGGGCGCGCGGGGGTCTCCTGGGGTGGGAAGGGCTGGCGCGGGGAATTCAACGTCCGGCGCGAACCTCGGAACCGCGGGTGAAAGGCAAGTGCCGTGAAGCAATGTGGACCCGAGCGGAAAGACAGAAACTCACTCACCTCAGAGACTGTCTCTTAGCACTCTTCGCTTCCGCGTCTGCAGTAAACTGCGCAGGCGCACGTCGGGAAAGACCGGTAGAGTGCGGGCGAGGCGGGGTGTTACCTCACTTCCGGTTGTTTTCCGTTTCCGGGTTAGAAGCCGTTTATTAGCCTTTAAAGTATGGAGGTCTACCGATGTTGTAAACTTTAACAACACTCAACAACCACAATTCTGAGAGTAGCTAGAAAGGTCTATTTAGATTGGCAGTGACATATTGTTAAGTGCTGTAGAGTCGGTTCCGACTCATAGCCATCCTGTATAGGGTTTCTGCGGCTTTAAATCTTCAAGGGAGAAGATGTCAAGCACCTTCCAGTCTGTTGCGTCTCATAGTGACCCTTTATAGGATTTCCGAGGAGCATCTGGTGAATTTGAACCGCCATCAAACGACCTTTCAGTCTAGTGCTTATCCTACAGTGCCACAACAAGACTGCATATATATGTTGTTACATGCCATCGAGTTGGTACCGACT